TTAGTATCCAATTAAATTTGAATTCATGTATTTTAGAATTCATTTCTGAAGTAGCACATTCAATAATATTTTTTTCATTTCGAGAGACAAAAGAAAATGTTAATTATATAGTGTTGGTGTCTCTCTCTTAAAGTTAATTACTTTTCAAGATGATTAATGTGGGTGTTTGGTCCCCTACTTATTAAATTGATATAGTTTTTTTAGATCCAAATACATAAATAAGTACTTAAAGTTAGTATTAATGATCAAATAAATACTTTATTAATTATGTTGGTGGTCAAATAAACATATCATGATATAAAGCTAATAAGTTTTAAATTCTAAAATTTATGAGACACATCATTTATGGAATTATATTAAATTTATTATTATTTGATTCTAGATTTTAATCAATTTAAATTATTAAATTTCAAATTAATAATTTATTCACATTTAATAAAATTACACTAGGCTTATTTCGATGGTCACTATCATAATTCATAGCTAAGATGTCTACGGTTATTGATACTAATTTTAAAGTTTATTTATGTATACATTCGATCTAATTTTTATCTTTTTTGGGTCATAATATATTTTTTATCAAGACTTAATACATCTTCTTAACTATATTGGATTTCGAATTAATAATCTGATGATATGAGGAATCTTTCTTTTTTCGACCCAACTTCGTTTGCTCCCTTCATTTCAATTAAACAAGTTATTAGATGATTCCTTCATTAAATTTTAGTGAAAAAGAGCGATATCTCGATTTATATTATTATTTTATGAGGTAAAATATTGATTAAGCAAAATGTTAATAAAAAGATAATGTTTAAATGAATTTATAGGCATATATACTAGAAAAGATATAATTAGGAGCGAAATTATAAAGAGTGTCGGCAGTGACAGAGTCAAAAATTTAGTGAAGGGTGTGCAACTTAGTTGTGTTAAGAGTGTGCAAAATGAAATAAACACTCATAATATCTACTACTAACATTTAACTTGTGTACGCCACATAATTCTCTGACTAAAGTCCCATGAGGATCGGAGTGACCTTCGTGACAGACAAAATGAGAAAAGCAAAACTAAAAATGCTTCATCATATGAAAAGGAGCCAAGAGCTGTGAAAATGTGCTAATAAAGAGGTGTGAGAGTGTCGGGAGCAGAAGTTAGGAAAGGTAGACATAGGTTGAAGAAGAATTAATAGGAGGTACTTAGATAAGACATGACACAATTTCATTGAATTTCGAATTAATAATCCTTTGAACATATCATAATACCCTTATATAAATAAGTTAATCTTTTAAATATCTAATAAACGATTGAGAATTCACAAATATAATTCAACAGTATAAATTGGTAAAAGAATCAAATTTTAAAAAGGTAGCATGCTTTGACGTGACTAAACATTAGATACTTTGAAAAGTGGAGAATAACATAAGAAAACCAAATCGTTAGAAAAATCCTTCGCCTCCGTTGATTATAAATCACCGCTCCACTTCCGCCGTGCACCGCCGCGACAGAACCATGATTTGACCCGAAATTGCCCTGTTTCCGATACATAAACAGGCAATTGCATGGGGGCATCATTGTCCAACACGGCGGAGAATGGTACGGCTACCGGTAGAACGGGGCTAGGCGACATACCGGAAAGTTGCGTGGCTTGTGTTTTCATGTACCTAACGCCGCCGGAAATTTGTAATCTCGCTCGGCTGAACCGGGCATTTCGTGGTGCTGCTTCTTCTGATGCTGTGTGGGAATCTAAACTTCCTTCTAATTACCACCATATGCTTGACCTTTTGCCTCCTTGGAGATACGAAGGTTTTTCGAAGAAGAATATATTTGCCCTTCTCTCTCGTCCCCTCTCGTTTGATGATGACAATAAGGTATAGGAATATATTTGCCCTTATCTCTCTGAGAATTTGTTTAGACATGTATTGGATTGGTTTTAGTGGAATGAATTATGAAATTTGAGTTAACACTGCTAAAGTAGGTTCTTGATGGTATGGATACACTCCTTTGTGTAATGCTTTTGATGTTGTTTAACTGGGGAAAATGGAGTGTAAGAAATGTTGAGCTTTGATGAGGGAAGGATAACACAGTGAGAATCACTCCAACCATGTTAGAGTCTTCAAGCCACCAGGGAATCAAAGGGATTAAAGGGCCCTATTAATTAATTCCTTAAACGGGGGTGTGGGAGTGAGGGTTTGACGCAGTTGAGTTTCATTGTGTTTTCTTATGTTTACGACTTACAATTTTTAGCTCTATTTATAGTGTTTCTATTTGTTTTACTAATATATACTTCTCATTACATGGGAGAAATAACAGGAAGTATGGTTGGACAGAGTAAGTGGAAGGATTTGCATGTCAATCTCTTCAAAAGCAATGTCGATAACAAGTAGTGAAGACAGGAGACATTGGAACTGGTTTGCAACGGATGAATCAAGGTTAGATTTATTCAAATCACATTCAACAATATCATTTATAAGCTTGTTCTTCACACTGTGGAGATTATATTAGATTCCTGAATTGGTTAGATATTCTCTGTAATGCTTAGTGATAGATATTTATTTCCTCATTGAGTCTGTTACTTGAAACTGAGTTTCTTTGTGCATCACGGGATAAAATTTGCTATCATGGTAAATGATGTTTATTTGTTGACCTTGAGATGAAATCAGATAAGAATACGAAGAGAACAGGAAGAAATGGATTAAATTCTTTTTTCTTCCTATTTGAAGGAGTTCATTACTTGATAATATGGTGTGATTAGACTGGATTGCATAGAATGTCCTAGGTAGTATCAGCACACTTGAATTTGAAAAAATAAAGGTATATCTGATTCAAATTTCTCCTCTTCTTATCCATTAAAAATACTTGAAAGTAGTGGAGTATATCTTTTTCCCTTACGTTTGTTGTTTGCTTTCTGATTGTTCGACAACTTTGTTGTTTCTGACTACTCGTAAATATCTAGCTGTTGGTAGACACAATGAATTATTATAAACTTCCACATTCTAATATTCAGCTGATAGTTTCTTGCAGGTTCCAGATTGTGGCGTATTGCCAGCAAGTCTGGTGGTTTGAAGTAAGTGGAACAGTGAAATTTCCTTTTCCTCCAGATGTATACACTCTAACATTCAGGATCCACATTGGGAAATTCCTTAAGAGACTAGGCCGACGTGTTTCCAACTTTGAGCACACACATGGATGGGATTTGGGGCCAGTACGCTATGAACTGTCTACTTCTGATGGACAGTGTGTAGTTAGTGAGTGCCGCCTCCATGACATCGAACAAGATGATGCAAAAGGGACTATTAAGCGTGGATGCTGGATTGAATACAAGGTGGGTGAATTTATTGTCAGTAGGTCAAATCCTGTAACTGAAGTTAGATTCTCGATGAAACAGATTGACTGCACACATTCGAAAGGTGGCCTTTGTTTGGATTCTGTATCGATTATCCCCAGTAATCTCAAGAGGAGAAGAACAGGGTAAATGATATGTTTCCTAGTTTTACCAACACTTGTAGAAAGTATTAAATTAGGTTCTATTACACAGCTTATACTACCTAAAAATTTGGTACCATGGAGGATATCACTGTATATTTTTCGCCTTAGGTATGTCTGCCCCTTCTATCCATGTAAATGTTAATGCTTTGTTTTTGATCCAGTTTTGCTGTATAGTATATCTTCTACGGAAGATCAGGATAATAGTATACTTCACGAGAAGAAACATTGAGTTGTTGTTGTTATTATTATTATTATTACTATTTCATGTGTATACAATTGGTACAATGTTGCTGTGTTTATTGCACTTGTATGATGGCTTACTTTCCAGTGTTTGGTAGGGGTGCACATCGGTCGGTTCGGTTCGGTTCGGTTTATCGGTTTTCGGTTTGTAAATACATCAAACCGATAACCAAACCAATAACATATTTCTTATCGGTTTTTGGTTAATCGGTTTATGGTACTTAACGGTTCGGTTTTCGGTTTAACCAATAAGAAAATACTCATATATATTATATACACGATAAGAAAATTTTCAAATAAACCATATGATTTTTCCAGCATTTGGCATGCAAGTAATAATCATAAAAGTAACAATCATTTTTCTTGCAAGTTTAGACACTAGACACATTCAAAGGAAAAAGTGTGAAAGTAACAATCGTTTAACCATTAACAAAAAGTATGAAAGTAACAATCGTTTAACCATTAACAATAAGACTAGTAAATTTAGTATAGTCTTATTGGGTTATCGGTTTAACCATTAACAAAAATTATAAAACCGGAAACCGAACCAATAACCCAATAAAAAATTTTGCAAAACCGTTAGCCCAATAACCCAATATCAATAAACCAATAGTGTTTTTTTCGGTTCAGTTTATTGGTTAAATCGGTTTTTGCACACCCCTAGTGTTTGGGGCCTATAAATTATGTAGGATCGCTCCAAACTAGCGTAGCTGTTATGCCTTTTGTTTTTTATTTTTAACTCGATCTTTCTTGATGCATTTTTTATATGCTCTTGAAACTTGATGCATTTTTTATATGCTCTTGAAATATGTTATTGGGGGTCTTCATCTTAAAAATACCTTTCTCGACCCTATGTAATATTGCACTAGATTTTACTCCCCCACTCCAATTGAATGTCATATTTTTACATCTAGTAATTAATAGTTTAAACTTCAAAATTTTCATTTCACTCTTGTTGAAATACAAACAATCCCTATAACTTTGTTTTAGACATCTTTTAAGTTTAAAATTTGTTTCTTAAACTCCACGTCTAATCAAACACATGCACATAACATAAATTGAGATGGAGGATGTGGCAATGGGGTGGTGGCATGAGGGAGTGTTTCACAGAGGTAAGGAAGGAACGACTGGTACAAAGTGAGATTTTTAGGTTGTTGATGAAGCACAAGGGCTAAAGTGAAATGGTTCGTGAAGGTTAATAAAAAAAGAAAAAAACGATAGCAATATCGGTCAAAGTGATAGCACATTTGAAACAAAACAAAATACGAAAATATACGTTTAAGAGCGAGAACTGAGAAGAACTGCATTTAACTGCAGTCCATCAACGAATCAATAGCAACATTAAAATGCAAAAACATTTGTTTAGAGAAATTACTGTCTGCTGTTTTGACTACAATAAGACTGGTAAATGATGCCACTTACAGTGCCGTGAAAAAAACTCTCAACTGACTTACAAGTAAAAAAACAAAATGTTGCTTAACGTTTTCCACCGCCACCACCAAGCTTAGGTCCTTTTGATCCACCCTTAGAGACGTTAACCTTACCTCCAGCTTTTTGTGACTTGGCCTGCACCTCAGCCTTCTTGGCTTTCTTCTCATCCTTGGTCTTCTTGATCCTTTCCTTGATTTCACTGCACAAATCGAAAAAAAATGAAAATCAATTCACCTTCATGTAATAAAGGAAAAACTGTATTGTCAAAAGAATCCATCGTTTAGTTCTTTTCCCCATTTTATCTTAGGTTTACCAACCAGATTGAGTAGTAGGTGGTTTGCATGTATATCTGAGAACTTGATTCAATGCACATGCTAAATCTAAGGGATTAGCATGCAGGAAATGGTAAAAAAGTAAAAACTAACCGGAGAGCAGCCTCCCTGGCAGCATCTCGAACTTCTGGCCTTTCAGTTCTCTTCTTCTGGATAACCTCTAAGGTTGCACCTACAATGGACCTGGAGTAAGGCTTCTTTGTTGTGCGGCGCCTCTTCTTAGCAGCTTCTTGGGCAATATCCTACAGTCACCATACAAAAATGGCAAATTTTACTTGACATAAGAATATACATACAGTTATCCAAAAGATGGCAAAGGTGAACAGGACTATGCCACAATACAAATTAGGCAAGAGCTGACAAAACAGAAAATTGTTTTACATACTTATTATGATCGCAATGCAGTATCAACATATCTATCCTTCAACTTTGCAATTTTTGAAGAAAAATAAAGCTTAAAATTTTTGATCAATGAAGCTTTATTAACACTAACCTTCTTGTGTTGCTTCCTATACATAGCTGTCCATGTAAGTTTTGAAGGCTTCAGGCGATTGTGGAAGTAGTGTTTGCATTTTGAGTTGACAAATAGAAACACCTAAGACAAAATAAAAGTGACAAATGGATAAGAAAACACAACTCTTAACACTTTCCACTAAGCCACAATCATAACGAAGAAGATAGTAAGTTCTCTCAGAAAATAAAAATCACCTGAGAATCAGAACGAATAAATCTGATTCCCCTCCCAGGATATATCTTGGCACCACTGAAACGACAGAGTTCCGTCCTGAAATCAAAATCAACAATAAAACACTAGATTAATCACTTATACTTTAATTTTGTGCAATACAAGGAGACAAATTCAAACTAAACGAAGCTAGAAAGTTTATGCAACATAATAACTATAATAATTCCTCCGTCATGAGCAGGGACCATACATACTTAAGTCTATTAGAAAATTATCAAAAACTCTGTTCGCAATTTCTTCTCTTTTATTTTTGTTTATGCAAAACTTCATCCTTTTTCATATTACTTGTGCTAAAAGCAGTTAGGTTTTCCCAATGATATAGTTTTTCAAATCTTTCAACTAGCTTTGCCAAAATGAACGTTCTGAAAGCAACATTCAACCTTCACCAAATGCAACAATGAAGTAGCTACTGAGAATTTCACTACAGATTCACATTTAATTATGCAATTCAACTATAGCAAACAAACAAAAACGTCGATAAACGAAGAATTTAATAATACTCTCCGTAGAACTAATACTCCGATTAGCAAACAAACGAAATGGACACAAAACAGGTACTTATATGTAAGTCAACAAAAAACAAAATGGCGCCATTACTGTGAATTATATATGATAAGTTGATAATCAAAACAAAGTTACAAATGATCCAACATGAATCTCTGAATAAACGAAATTTACAAAATGCGAAAAAAAAAAGAAAAATTAATAAATTAAGGGCATATATACAACATTCTATTACATGCATGAAACATATAAAAAAGCAAGTAGAAAGGTCGATGATTTACTTGAGCACCATTGCTGATACAGCTGCGAGCTTTCTCCGTAGTGATGTTCCAAAAATGGAGAAAATAAAACCCTAGTCAACAAACCCTTATAGTGGAAACTGTATGAAAAATTGGGCCCAAAAGAATAACAAATCTATCGTAAGCCCAATAAGTGGTTGCTCATGGGCCATGTATTGGGCCAGTCCAAAAATCTTCTACTTCTCAGACATTTTTCATTGCGTATCCGCAAAGTAGAACACTATTTGTATGTGGAAAATCGCGTTTAGTAAAAGGATGAATCAGATTATGACACGTGGTTAAATTAAACCCGAAGAGATGCTTGATACAACCTGTGGAAATTTGGAAGGATTGTCCCCGGTGTGATCCTAAGCGATGTGAAACTAACCCGAATAAAATTGTTTCCTAATGGGGCAGCCCACGAGACCTTTCCTCGCGAGCTATACACCCTCTTAATGACTCACGGGGAAATCAAAAAAATCAATCTCGAGTCTTGCACTAACATGTCCCCAATCAGCCTCAAGTGTAGTGTTAGAGCTTAGGCACGGGTACTAAGTGTGTGGTCATGAAATGATGGTTCAACTTTTTAGCCTATAAAAGAGTCCTCCCAGAAGAACTAAAGACATCAGAAAATCCATCAAGTCCCCTAGAAGTCTTTTTATCTTCTTTTCTTAGAATCTCTCTCGGAGAAACTCTGGACCTTCTCTTCACTTGTATATTTCTTTCCTTTTAGCGGTTCATATTCTTGTATTGACCCACTGCCTTAGTGTTTGACCTAAAAGAAATGAATTTGATGGACCTTAATCCACTTATTTTTAATCACTTTTCACAAATTGTATTGTTAATCAAAATGACGATTTTTTAATAAATAGCAATGGCATATTTAAAAACATGATTGTCAATTGGTCAGCCGTTGGAACACTTCCATCCAATAACTACATGAACACGATACAATATCACATCATATCAAACACAAAAGCTTAATAGCTCTTATTAATTCATAATGGTGCACAAGTATGAAGTATAACAATCTATATCGATTCATTTAGCAAAATCAAGAATCGTAAAATCACAATCCTTCAAAAAAAAACTACATTTGTACTTAAAATCAATACTTTCCTCTCACAAACCAAATTTTTTAATTCAAGATTCATCAACATCATGAACCCGAAAATTAAGTCTTCGAAGCCAAATCGAATGAAGAATCATATGAAACACATCATATCTTTTTGGAGGTGAATTAACCTCAAAATGCCTCCTCATTTGAATTCCCCTTTTTTGCATCACCAAATACTTATCTTGAGGAATATCCATAAGAATTTTCTTAAGATTAGGAATATCCTTAACATGAATTGTAACAACAAATGTGTCCCAATCAAGTACATCACTAAAAGGTGTCACATAATTATCCTTAATTAGGACAGGTACACATCCCATGTAAAGTCCCTCAACCATTCTTGGACTTGCAACTTCATATCCACTTGGACATAAACAATATTTACTCTTTCTTATCATGTCATAATATGAAACACCTTTTGGTAAGTACTTGTGAATTTGAACATCTTCATCTTTACTATTTTCCCAATGTTGTAACAAAATTGGCCTAATTGGACCATGAACACCTCCGGCAAAGAACACGAGAACGGGGCGATCGGAGGGCGGTGGACCGCCTAGTAGGCCTTTGGTTGTACCTAAAGGGAGATGGATTTCTGGAATTGAAACATCCTTTGTTGGATTGAATTTTTCTGAGGTATTGGCATTGCATAAAGCTCTAATTGAGTTTTTGTACAAGTGTGGTATAGCAAAGGAAATTTCAGGTCCCTGTATAATAACACAAATTAAATCAAGACTAAGATACTATTATTAAAAATGTATTAAAAAAGGTCATATAATACGGTACAAAGTAACAACAATATATTTAGTGTAATCTCATGAATGGAATCTGATAAGGATATAGAATGTATACAAACTTTATCGTTACCTCCCAGAGATAACGTGAAGCACACACGACAATTATCTATAGAGAGGACTATTATTAAAGAATATTACACATGTGAGCTTGGCACTAGCTATCATGAATAAAATTCTCCATTTCGTTTCAATTTATGTGACATATAATTTGATTAATTCAATGTTAAGTTTCAGTAAAAAAATAGAGTAATACGTAATTGAAATTTATGATCTTAAACATGACATAAACATTTGTATGACTATAAAAGCTTCTCGTTAATAGTAAAATGAGAATTTTATAATTGAATATTCTAAATATAAAAATATTTATTTTTTATAATAAATAAATAATGTCACATAAATTAAAAGGGAGGAACTATAATATTCAAAAAGTTTCAATATTTATTTTATTTTTAATTTTACAAAGGCTACCTCTCAAGACTATATCAAAATGAGGAAGAAAGGAAGAGTATGGTTTCATAATTAAATTTCATATCAAGTCAAAAGACAGACAAAGTGAAAAAACAATGAGACGATGCTTGTAGTAAAGTATCTATTCGAGTACTTTGTTTGTCGTACTCCAAATTCAATCTTTTTTTTTTAGAGAGAGAACCAATTGTTATATAAATAACGTTCTAATTAATTTATATACACCAACAATATAAAATAAATTCAAGAAACTTACCCAATCATGACAAGCAAGCATGAAATGATCAGCACCAAGACTTCTATTCCAATAAGGATACTTTTGAGAAATGACATTAACATAATCCATTGTTGTGTTCTTCATGAGACCCCATTCATGTGATTCAGCCACATATATGAATTCAATTAACATTGTAACACTTAATGGCAAGAAGTATACATGAGCTTTGTTTGGATTTTCTGTTCTGAATTTGCTAACTTCCATTGCTTGAATAAAATAACCTTCAATAGCATATGTATGTTTGCATGGACCAAAATGATATAATGGGGGATCACCTTCTTTGTACACATATACCTTGAATTTTTTCTCCATTTCTAAATAGCTCCTACACATTTTAGAAATGAATCAGTTTAGATGGAATCAAAATTTTAAATTTATGAATTCTGAGTTTCAATTAGTATAGCTTATGGAGTTTTTGATATATTATTTATACATATTATATCAAATATAACTTAAACACCAAAGTCTAAGATTACTTTATATTTGTCAGAGGGTGGGATAATAGCATCGGGATTAGATATCCTGATGAATTAGTAAAAATGACAAAAAGAAACATGAGATACCTTAAATCAGTACCGAAGTCAGAAATTTCGTTAAGGGTGTTTAAGATTTCATATATATAGGTACGAAAAATAATAATTGACCTATATACTTCGTATAATTCTCTCTCTCTCTCTCTCTCTCTCTCTCTCTCTCTCTATATATATATATATATATATATATATATATATATTATAATATTTTGATGAAGGGTGTCCGACTGGCCACCCTAAGTTATTTGTGGTTACGCCATTGCCTCAAACCTTTTTTCTACTGAATAAGGTGGAGGATATTTTTGTGAACGAACAATTTAATTTCTTCTCAGAAAATATACAAATCCATGTTATTTCTAACAAACCAAATAGACAATAAAGAAGAAACAATACATGTCAGAATAACTATTCTCAATATAACTTGTATTCAAACCAACGATCCCGGATTGGAGTAGTAATTAATTAGCAGTGAATGGTATAGTAATATACAACATACCTGTGGAAGGAAGTAGCATTCAAGTACATAGGACCATGAGGAATATATTCATCTTCTTCTTCTTCTATATGATTGCTTTTGTTTTGTCTTAATAATAATATTGCAGCTCTAGATCTTGCAAGTCCTGCTTCCAATTTCTCTATTTTGCTAAATCTTTTTGGTGTTGTTGTGTTCTTATTTACATTAATAATAGGGACCTCATCCTTCTCATTAATTGCCTATAAGGTTAACAACAAATAAGCAATTAATTAGTAAATTTAAAGGGTTATGGTCATCATGAAATAGAAATACGGCGATTTCGGATTTGAAATTTATAAGTTTCTATAGCAAAATCAAATATATATATATATATATATATATATATATATATATATATATAAAATTCGGACAAAAGCAATTGAATTCAGCTAAACCTAGCATTTTAAAAATGGAACTTAGGTGTGTGTACATGAATTACATCACTAAAATTTTAATACAAAAATTGATTTAATTATGAATATTAATTCAAAATTGCAATGAATTCTTAGCGGTAAGAATATAAATAAATTCATTAAAAGAGTCATTTCAAGATCACAAGTCCTAATTAAGGTAAGATTTTTTATTTTATTTTTCCAAGGTCATTAATGGATAGTATCAAATTGTTGATCAAGAAATTAAAATCAGCTATTAACAGCTCTAAAAAAATCCAATTATTAATTTCATAGCAAAGGAGAAAAGATGAATGTTTTTTTTAGTTTCTCACTCGGTATTTGATACTTATATTGAAGCCCGACTAATTCAACTTCACCCCAGAAAGGACTCCATTTGGTAGCACATTTTTTCATGCCGCGGACTCGAATGATTAAAGATCAATGTTTTAGTTACCACAATGTTTGTAGAATGAAGTGTCAATGATCACTACTAGAAAAATAAGAATTAGGAATGAACAAATTATATAGCTAAACAACACATATATATTAACAAAAGTACTAATAGTAATATTTAAAAAAAATAAAACTCACCTTTGTTGAAGAACCATTATTGAGAGTCTCTAAATAATGATGATGAGAAATTGATAGCCAAAATTTGGAACCTTGTGGATTAATGATAACAACAAAAGCAGCAACCAAAAATAATGGCAAAATAAACCATAAAACCTTTAAAGAATTTGAATTCATTCTATTTGTTTTTCTTACTTTTTCCCCTTTTACTTTTGTTGTTTCTTTGTGGAAAAAAGTTGTAAAGTTTGGCTTTGGTATATATATAATAAAATATATGAAATTTCTATAAAATATGGTTAAAAAATTGTAATTTGATTCCTTACCATCTTAGTGTTCAATGTATATCTTCCTTCCTTCATTATTGTAATCTAGATTTTGCTTTTTACCTTTTAGGAAAAGTGCAATCAAGAGATACTTTTT